CCCGTTTGTGTGTGTGTGTGTGTGTGTGTGTGTTTTGTTTTGTTTTTTAGTTTTTGCTGTAGAGTGAGTGAGTTTGCCAGAGAGAGAGAGGGAAAGTGAGAAGTCACCCCCTCCCAGGAGGGATGGCCAGGCCGTAATCCCTTCTCCTCCATTCTCCTCTCGGGATCTTGGGCACGCACGCACACGCGCCTGGCCTGAGTTTCAAGCTGCCAGATCCAGGACTCAAACCACACAGTCTGCCAGGTGGGATCCAGTGCCTTAACCACAGCGCCACCAGCCGGATCAGGATTGGGCACTGAGAATGGTGGGCTGGCTGTGCTCATGGCCGGTGGGCCTTGGGCCATGGCCGGCCCCCCTCACACTCCTATCCCACCTCCTAGACACCGAAGGCTGTGACCGTGGTTGGCACAAATTCCAAGGCCATTGCTACCGCTACTTTGCCCATCGGCGGGCGTGGGGGGATGCCGAGAGGGACTGCCGACGGCGAGCGGGCCACCTGACCAGCGTCCACTCCCCTGAGGAGCACAACTTCATTAACAGTAGGACCCTGCGGGCGGGAGGGAGTCGCCAGCCAGCATGACAGCCGTGATGAGCGGGGGTGGGGGCTTCTGTGGTCCCTTTGCCAGGGCATCCCTCCAGGGTTCTGGAGATGCCACGTTTCCAAAGCTGGGTTTCAAGCAGGCCCTCACTGCTTCTTAATTCGTGCATCCATGGACTCACTTGATAATTTTTGTTTTTGAAGAGGGTTTTGCTATAGGGTGCGTGCGCTCCCTAGAAAGACAGAGAGAGACAGAGAGACAGAAAGTGAGAAATCACCCCCCAGGGGGGATGGCCATGCCACAGTCCCTTCTCCTCCATTCTCCTCTTGGGATCTTGGGCACGCACACACACGTGCTCTGCATGAGTTTAAACCACCGGGTCTGGGACTCGAACCATGGTTGACTACGTGGGAGCCCAGCGACATAGCCATTACGCTAACTGCTCTCCCCAGGGGCTTTTTCTGAGAGAGATTTTTGTTGGAAGGAGCCAGGGATCACCTTAGAGACAGAGAGACAGAAAGTGAGGAATCACTCCCCAGGGGAAATGGCCACCCTGCAATCCCTTCTCCAATCCCCTCTCGTTTTTTTGGTCCCAGCTCTGAGACTCGAACCACGATCGACTACGTGAGAGTCCAGTGATGTAACCTTCATGCCATCTGCTGGTCCCGCCATCTCCATCCTTTTTCTCCTCCTCTAGCCCACCTCCAAACTGGGGAGATGAATAAATCCTCTCCTCCCATCTCCCCCTCCAGCCCTTCTCCTGGCTAGGGGTTGGGTAGGCCACCAGCCCTCATGACCCCTCACCCCACAGGCTTTGGACATGAAAACACGTGGATCGGCCTGAATGACAGGATCGTGGAGAGAGATTTCCAGTGGACAGACAACACCGGGCTGGTGAGTGGCATGAGTCCCTCCCCTGGGGTCACTGAGCCTCATGGGCCTTGGGTGTCCTCTGTCCTCAGTTCACACTCTTGTGCAACCACAGCTGGGTATTAAAGGCCTCCAGTGGCTCTAAGATGCGAATGGACAAAGGAGGGTCAGTGAAGCCCAGCTCTTCATGCTAGGTCCCACCCACCCAGCTACTGAGACCTGCTTCCTCAGGTGCTTGGTCTCTTAGATATTCCTTTTTATTTTTATTTTATTTTATTTTATTTTTTATTTTTTTGCTATAGGGCCCATGCGCTCACCAGCGAGAGAAAGTGAAAAATCACCCCTTCAGGGGGAGCAGCCCTTCTCCTTCGTTCTCCTCCTGGGATTTAGGACACCCACACACAGGCACCTGGTGTATTTTCCAAGCTGCCAAGTCAGGGACTTGAACTGCACAATTGGCCATGTGGGAGCCACCTGCCTTATTTACAGGGCCACCTGGCTGGTCCAATATTCCCATTTCTCTACAACTCCTACCTGCATAGCCTCCATCAACTCCTCCCACCCTCTTCCCCCTTTCTTTTCTTTTCTTTTTTTTTTTTTTAGGGTTTTTTTTTTTTTTTTTTTTTTTTTTTTTTGTTGTGGTCGT